GAGAGAGAGACAGAGGGAATCCGAACTATGTACATCCATAATTAAAGCTGCTGGACTGGATTCAAGAGGGTGTTCCTGCCATGGAAGAAGCCATCTGATATTCAGCTGCGCCGCATTCCTGCCGCTCTCTTACACCTTCATCCCTCACTGTCACACACAACTTCACACGTAGTTTAGGGCACCCCCCACCCCACCCCATCTAATTGATCTGCCTCATTTTGTCTTTGTGTTGCCACCTCTCTTTTTCTTCCCTCACAGACACAAGCTACCCACAAACTAAAAGCCTATGTTGGTTGAATCTACAATAATTGCTTTTACAGAGGACGATTTTTGTTCCGCAGTCACACCATCAAACGGCTTCAAGCAAATGGCCCGAGTCATATCACTTATCGTGCCCTACTTCCTCTGAGGCTACAGGGCCGTATTGACTGGTTCCTTGTTATCTTGAGAGCAGTTCACACCACTTGGTCACAAGTTGCATCTGAAGCATTACTGCAAGACTATGAAATGTCGATCTTAAAAAACACCTTAAATCAGCTACAAATGATTAACTACTATCAAGTGTTTGGAACTGTTTGTGTGTTTCCTCCAGGGTGGTGATAGCTCCGCTGGTTTTCAAGTTTCTCCTTGGAGTTATTTTTAAACTATGTGACAGCCAAAGCCACTTAAAGGGGTAACAGGTGAAACACGTAGTATAAAGGACCAACAAGGAGCTGTATGAATTGATGTCATTTCTGGGTTGAGCTGCTATTAGCGTAACACTCCCGGATTTATTGAACTGTCTGCAATTGAACTGCATTGTGGGTAATGTTGCGCCTGTTTTGAAAAGGCAGAATAGAATAAAAAAAGACTGCTTCATTAATTGTTATCCTTTTTTTCTACAGTGCTTAACTGTTGGACAAAACAAGCCATTTTTGAATTACTAAACAACACTAAAAACATCTCCGTCCCCAGAGTGAGGTACTCTAGCAAAGATGTCATGTTTTTAACAGCTATCACAATCTGAAGATTCAACATTAGTATGGCATTTTCAGCGGCACTGATGAAAAAAGTTCTGATATCAGCGAGCATCACTGAAGCACAACTAACTTGAATTTATTTATAGCGTGTCTCATTTGCTATTTGCAAGTGAAAGCTTTTACCATGTACTGAGCTTATGGATTTTCTTGATAGACCCCTGAGAGGCCCTTTAGTCCGACAGCAAGACACTGTGATTATTCGATTTGAATCAATGACTGGAGAGGCATATAGAGAAACTGTTGCTCAGTAAATACTCGTGGATATTTGAAAATATGCTTTACCTTTACCTTAGTCATGTATGTGCAGGGCTGAAGGCCTTTATTCATAAATAAAAGACCAAAGACTAAAAGCATTGAATGTAGTGTTAGCTATAGCTGCTCACCGCACCGTTTTGTAATGTAGGAAACAGTCGGTATTTAAATATAAGGGTCTGTGCTTATTGCTTTACCATTTGTTTTAGTTAAGAGGAGATCATGTCGTTTAGCAAATTCCAATTTCTCACTAATTTACTGTGTAATTACCCGATGAAGCATTAGCATTTAAATAGACCATGCGGCTATCTTTAACAAGAGTCTGCCAGGAGAAAGGGAACCCAAATCTAACGTCTTGGCAACATTCCAACACTTACTGTAAGGCCACTTAATGGAGGGGCTATGACTATGGTTAATTAAATTATTATATTTGACGTCTTTACTCTTTATCTGTAGTTTCAACAAAGCTGTATATGACAGCCCCTCAGGATTTTGTAGCGACATCTCTGGTTCTAACCTGCTTAGTCTTTCTATTTTCTTTTCACTTTGTTTCAAGGCTGTGTTATTCTGTTTGAAAAGAAAGTGACAGGGGACAAATCCATAAAAAACTTGCAGTTATTTATCCTTGATTCAAATTGACAGTTTCATAAGAATCATCTTAAACCCATCACCAGCAAGGCACCCTGTGGTTAGCACAGTTTTGTTCTCAGTGACAGAAATCCTTGTTGTTGACAGAGTTTTGCTTTGTTTGTGATTATAATTGTGTATCTGTGATCATCTGTAGACATAGTAAGCCCATAAAACATACTGCGCACACACTGCAGCATCCTCACAGAAACACAGGTTTGTTTTTCTCCATTGGATACAAATGGAATGACTTACATGCATAAATGATGGGATGATGACAGCAAAGTGCAAATCGAAATAGCACCAGTGAGTCACACTCTGTCTTTTCAGGTGCTGATAGAGTTGAGAAGAGGCAGTGCTCTGAACGTACAGCCTACCAAGGTAAACAAAAATACAATTGTTACAAATGTAGCACCTAAATGTCAAGCACAGGGGTTTGGAATACACTTTTGACTACTTTTAGACCCTACTTTCTCTTTCGAGGTCATGGAGATATGAGCAATCGGAGGCAAAAGGACCAGTGGACCTGCGAAGGCACAAATCACAAAGCATTAACAATGTGCCAGAGATTGTGCTGACGAGGAGATTCTCCTTCACGGGCTGTAAAGGACAGCGGGCGACGCGTTTATAATGCAGACCCCGGGTCACGGGATTAAAAAGAAGAAGATTGGCTCGCAGAAACCCCAACGGTCCACCACAAGGAGAGCAATCAGCTTGCTGCAATGACATTTCCCCTGGAACTCCAATACAGGAGACAATAGAGATAGAAAATTAGAGCTGTGTGTGTGCAGTGGGTGGAGGGAGGGAGGGAGGGAGTTACATCTAAGATCAAAGTATTTCTTAAGTGGCTGCAATCTGAAATCTTAAGTCTTAATGTGGTCCATTCCAATCAGAAGGCTCCCAGAAGCCAGCACACTTTTTAATATCTTCACCTGACATTGTCTTCTGTAGTTTCATGCAACTACAAAAAAGCCTCAAGTAGAACCAAATAAACATGTCCTTGCTCGTTTCTCAAACTTATAATAATAATAATAATACATGGCGCTTTTCATGAAACTCAAAGACGCTTTGACAGAGAATTAAGAGAACACAACAAAAAAAAGACAAAGAAATACAAAAAGAGATAAACAAAACAGAAAAAAAATACTTGAGGTCATGGTCTTGTTTTTCCGTGTTTCGTCCCACTTGAGGTCAATTCATTCCTACTATGGTCAGTCGGTGGGGGCAGGGCGTTCAGCCCTCATTGATTTCTCCTCTCGAATGCACCGGTATTGGAGATCAATGCAACATGAAGGTATTTGTGTCCTCATTAATGCTGTTTGCTCAGCAGATCGATGCAGCTTGGCCTGGTTGACAATAAGTCTGCCTAGAGGACAGGAGCATCAGACCTGTAATGGTCATATTTAACGTACTTGAAACCTAGTATAAAGTATAAGGGTGCTACATTATGAGTCAGTGCCCAAGAATCAAAAGTGAAAGTACACTACTTATGCCGAAGCTTGGTTCCCCTAAGGCGGATGTTTGGTCTTCAAAGATCTTTGTTTGGTTTAATTAGTTAAACAAATATTCCCAGAAGCTTTATACGTCGAATGTTCTTGTGGTAATGCAATACAGCTCACTAATGAGAGTGCTAACTAATGGATTCTGTGAGGTTATTTTTAAAAACGTGTTTCGAGAAATGTGTAGTAATCACCTCTTTTATAACAAAGGGAAGTTGTAAATATAGTAAAGGACAGAAAACATATTAAGAATGTTCTACTATCGTTAGAAAAGTATTGCCAGAACAAATCTGCAAACAGCATTCCTTTTCAAAGTTTAAAACTAAAACAATACACAGCATAAAACTTAGGAACATGTTCTTTCCCTGGGTGTCATACTTTGGAAAACATCAAATAAGACATGCCTCACCAAGGCTCTGGTTGCATATTGACTCCAACCACTCAAAGAATAAGTCCTCCACTCCGCCTCTAAGCATCATCCACTAAATGCATCTCACTCTTTCTACCTTTGAGACCACACACACGTGTATCCCAGGATACTAACATTTGTCACTACTCTGTAAACCGCCCTATTCTACATCACCTCTCTCTCTGGGTTTTCCTATACCTGCCTGATATGAATTACACACTAGCACACACACAGGTCAATCTTCAAAGAGCACTGCATCATCCATCACTGATACAGAGCTCCTATCTCACATCAAATGTCAGAAAGATCCCTCCCATGGTATCTTGTTTCATGTTCATGAGAACATCTAGCCGTAGGTAGGCAGATACAGTTCAACCCTTTCTACAGATCAAGAGACTTCTCCTACAATGCTCAGCTACTTCACTCATGGATGCCTCAGTAAAGACATTTACCCAACTAAAGTGAGTGCGATAGATTAGTTGATATCGGATTAAAAACAACCAAACAATCGATGAGGATAAAACGAATAAAGCCTAAACCTGCATACAACGAACAATCAATCCTATGCCGTAGTAAAACTTCCCCTTTAAGCGTTATGCAAGGAGGCTTAAGCATCTAAACACACATGTCATTGTGGGAGGTCAAGACATGAACTCTTTCTGAACTACCACAGTTGAAAATGTAACTCTGGAGCTCACCTATAACTCAGCGAGATGAAACCAGCTGTCATACCAAGTCATGATCTGTATGCAGAATTCATAAGCAGCATATGCACGCAGGTACATTATTTAAACTATGGCTATTCAGTCAGAGAAGAGGGTCATGCCTGTGAGTTCTGACATTTTAATGGATGTAGCTTAATGAATGCAGCAATGACATCTGTGTTCACTACTAACACTAACACTACTTCTATTCTTCTTAGATGTATTGAGAACAGAAAGCACTCGGCTTACTCTCCTCACATTACTCTCTGGGGAAGTGAGCTACATCTTTCCCATGGTGCCCTCTCCGGCGCAGGCTAATGAACATCTCCCAGCCACCCTGCGCTGCTTTGCATCACTTCAAAACTGGACTTCACAGCAAAGGAACCCTTCACAGCTGCTCTCTCCCCCCCTCAGGGTTTACATGCAAATGGGTGCACTCAGTGATTTGCCTGCCCCAAAATGTTCTACATGGAGCAGACTCAGAGATAGAACTGACCAGCAGTGTATCCAGAGACAGTCACACATTCAACTGCGTATCTGGCATTAACACTGCAGGTGGAGTAACTCAACGAAATGTGTGGAATTAAACCAAAACGTGATTATTTTTGGAAGCGACTGACAGAGCTAGGTTCAGCCAGCATATTTTTGGGAATTAAGATATCTGTAAAAAAAGCCATGAACTCATCCTTTTTCATAATGAAAATGATGTTTACATTAATAATTATAATCCAATTATATGATATCCTCACAACGGCAATTCTGCATAGTGAGTACTTTTACTTTTGGGTACTCAAATATATTTTGATACTAATACTTATCCTAAAGTAAGTTCAGTAAGAAGAGTAATATTCCCCCTGTAGTATTGCTTCTTGTTCCTTTAATAAAAGATGTGAGTATCTCTTTCACCTATGAGTCCACTGCAGCCTTATGTCATGCTGTAAATGTCACCTGACCCCCAGAGTCAGCGGTACTCACCATCCTTGCGGTGGTAGGTGATCTCTACCTTGCGCTCCTCTGATCCCATGAGAGCCTGGGCTACCTGAGCCTGCGAGTGCCGGGTGGTGAACTCTCCATGCAGGAAGTCACAGGTGCACGGCTTCTGCATGACGTCCGCCCTGGAGAAGCCTGTCATCTCGCAGAAGCCGTCATTACAGTAGATGATAGCACAGTTCTGCACCCGGGCATTGGCTATGATGAATTTCTTACCTGAAAAAGGAGAGATGGAGAGAGGGGGAATGATAATTTGTTCAAGGGCAGAATAACAGAAACAAGACCAATTGAGTGCAGTGATTCACCGTTAAATAAACATGGTGACTGTTGGAAGCTGGATTATCCCTTCATTATATTGAATATTCCTAAATAACGATAACAAATAATAATTATTATTATTATTATGGGCAATTCAGGTTTTGGGGGATTAAATGCTTGATCCTTATTTCTCATATGCAGCTTTTTGAACTACACTTTCCACTGGAGCAGGTGAGGTGCTAAGACACAGAGTAGCTGGATAATTCACTTAAAATGACTTTTCATGCATCTCTGACATATAAAATCATTAAAACATAGAATAGGTTCATTGTGTTCTATCTGCATCTTAAGCTTATTGTTATAAAAGCAGGCCTATTAGGCGATTCCCTAACAACCAAATTATTATTATGAGGATGCAGACACAAAAGGCAGGCATCACAGCACACTGGAAACCATGGAGAGGTACTCACTTTGTCCTTCGAATTTGCGAATTATTACTCCCAAAAACGTGTTTTGTGGCGCAACATGACCCCTCCTGACAGGCATGGTTCCCCCTCCAATAAATATGATGATAGACAAATCTTCCAAGCCGATCCCCCAAAACGCCTTCCGTCAAGTTCTAGCGGAAGACAACCCAAGCCAGAAGGGCTCCCCGTTTTCTTTGTCACCAGTCAGTCATCCTTGCAAGAATATCGCCCCCTCTCCCTTTTTGTTTAAGACCCCCCGTGTTTCCCTTATTTCAACTCCGACGCGTGCCCGCTTGAGCGCATCGCAGAGGCTTCCCTGCGCTCCTCGCCGATGGAAAGAAAGGAGTCGGTAGACCGCAGTTTCTCCAACATCTCACCGTCGCTCCTCGAAAGCACTGTGCGCGCTGTGCGTCTGTGTTGTTACGGAGGGAGGTCTCTGAAGCCAATGGCTGAGGCTGACACACCGGAGAGCAACACCGACACTGCGAAGGGGAGAAACCCACATGGATGCGTAGACAAAGCAGCAGACGGAGAGATAGTAGAGGCTGGGCTAGCTGGTAACGCAACGAATTACAGTAACGCGTTACAGTCTTGGAGCGTACAACTCGCTATTCTACGCAGCCTTATTAGCAGATAAACACTTTGTTATTATGCTACCCATTTTCGTTTAATTCATTATATTTTAAGTTGAATTATTTTCCTGTTGCGGAAATAATTCAGCATTGCCTGTGGTTTAACATAGACCTACTGAACATTACAAGTGAAAGTCCTTAATTACAATGTTACTTCAGTAGGAATATAGATTATTGCCAGCTTAATGTAGGCTACATAAAGTAACAAAAGTAAGTAATTCAAATAAACCCCACATTTACCAAGGGCAACATTGAAGGGAAGCACACATTAATTCATCAATAATTATAATAACTTAATAATGTGGCGTTTAAATGGGTACTTTTACTTTTGGTAGGCTACTTAAAACTAAAAGCTTATTTGAAGTACATTTTTGAATGCTGGACTTTTACTTGTAACGAAGTATTTTTACATGGTACTATACAGGACTGACACTGGCATGTCACAGCGAGTGCAATTTAGAAGGCATTACTATATTAGCCCCGAGGACGCTACTTTAGCATTAGCTTAGTGAGTGCTAGCTAGCTTAATTTACCTGCTCAAGCTAACGTCTTACGTACTTATATGACGCAAAGAAGCAGCGGAAGTTAACAAAAAGGCTACAAAACACCTCGACGAGTATCTAAGTAGTACTTTAGACACTAATGAGTATTTACTTCAGAATCACGTCTTGCGAGGGGTGACGTCAGGGTAGAGGTGTGTCGCCTCGTGAGGTTCCATGGAGTCCTCCTCCTTTCCTCTTTCCACTCAGTTTATGCTGTTCTGTCTCAAAGTGAGTCAGGAGCTGGCCATGGTGCTGCCGAGGGATTTGACTTAACATCCCATTCGTCGTGTCAGCACACACTTTATGCATTTTTCTTTACATTTTGTTGACATTTTCAAAACGTTTTTTCATCATCATTGTTATTCATAGTACCACAAAAAGTTACTTAGAATTTGAATACAGAAAGTACTCTAACCATGAAGAACAGGTAATGTTGTAATGCTTCATCCCTTACTCTTTTATTATTCTTCATTGCTCTGTCCTCTCAGATGTAAATTATTTCCCCCCATGTGTCTCTTGTCCCACTCAAAGCCATGCACACCCGGGGTGAAACATCTGTCCTGGTCTTATATTAGCTCTCAGTCCATATGTGCCATTCACAAACCCACTAAATATACACAGACAAACAGAGTTTAGAGAGAAGCTGACATATTCTGCATTTACAACCTTTTATTTGAAAACTGACTAGATTCCATGTGAAGTTAGCCTTTGTTCAACACCTTTCTCTTTTTCGCGCACAGACAGCTTGCTTTGGATGTTTTAGTTTTCCCCTGCAGCGTGTGGCCTATAGTCTCAGATTTACAGCATGTATTAGTACTAATCTACATTTTGTTGCCCACATCCAATTTGTCAACACAGTTAATGATATTGTAATCCATCAATTCAATCCACAACACAAATCTTTTTTCTCTTTCATTTCCCCCTCTCTGTCGCTGTCGCACAACAAGCACGACTCACTGATTCAAAGCTGTGGAACAGTAAAGGGTAGGCCTGCCCTTGAGTCATATTCACATTAAAGGGAGTGACAACTTTAATTAATTGTATTTTAGCTCATAATACGCTCACTGAAAGGACAGCTGGTGGTGACAAGCACTATTTCAACAGAGAGAACAACATAATCCTTATGGAGCCTGCATAGCATAGTAGAAAAGCAGGAATTCCAGATGGGTGGAAGTATTGGGAGATGCTCTAGTCTAGATCCACCAGCAGGTAAATGTATTCACTAACTTATCAAGTAAAACCTAAAAGAATGCCCACGTGACCACACATTTGGTAAGAAATAGCTGCAGATGTGGCCTTACTTCAAGACTGAGTTACATAACAAGTAAGTACATGTTCACTCCTGGTACAAGAGGTATGAACATAGGTCTCATATGTGAATATATATATATATGACTTACATTAAATATACATAATATTAAATATTCATATACGCTGAAACCCCATCGATAACAGGCCACAGTGCAGGACTTGCTACGTGAAGTTCTGGAAACAAGCCTCATGAAAAGGAAACACATGTTTCAACATTACTGCTCAAAATGTGAGGATATTTCTGAGAAGTGACAAAAAAACTTTCCATGTGATTCTTGAACATCTCTTACCAGATGCCATTGGCACGGTGGCTCAGTGCTTTTATGGGAACCAATAGTTATAAATAGATTAATCTGTATTTACTTTCCATTTATCTGGAACATCACTTATCTGCCCTTTATGAGACCGCATCTTCCCGACCGGGTTTAATCAGTCACGGTAGGAGAAGGAAATGAAGTTTCATCCCTACACTGCAGTTAAGGGTGCAATGAATAATTAAATGGAAATTAAACAATACAAGAGGGATGTGGGTTTTACTGATAACACACGAGGGAATTCTGAAGTAAAGCTAGAGGGTCTGAGGATATTCCAGAAGAGATATTTACTGTGGTTATGAGGTCAGCTGTATTCCAGTAAGTGCAACCAAGAGATACATTTCTGTCAGGCTGATAGATTAAGACCCTTTGCCTCATGGGAAATATTGTCTGTCAGGAGAGAACTATTTTATGATCAAATAATTGTACCCAGTGATTAATTTGTACAACTATCATAACAGAGTCTCATTAAAGACACTGCATGTACACCAAACAAGTTGTTGTAGAAGCCTAGTGACTAAGGGACTGTTGAATTGGCTTCTGAACGGGGCAAAAACTTTTCTAAAGCCATGCCCTGGTTTGAGCAAGGATGGATGGGATTCTCTGGGCTTTGGTAGCCCATGTTGAAAAAGGATAGAGCTAAAACAGCCCCCTTTATAATTGGTGCTGAGTCAGCAGGTGAGTGATTACAACTCTACCTTATGGGATCATCAGCATCATTATGATGTATCCGAAAAAGGAAAAAATGGTTATTACTGTAACGGCAACCTTGCCCTGGGCCCTTCTAATTAGAAAGACTAATGCCGAACACCGCGAGCCCCCGACAGGCTGTCACTCATGCAGCCAAAAGGTCCAGATTCAGCATCGCATGTGGCAGAGAGGTGCAGCCACGCAGAAGGTGTAAGTGATGAGGACGGGGGCTCTATCTTTAATCTGGGTTCAAGACCCCTTGACAGCGAACATCCATCCTGCTGAATTACCCCAGATCAAGAGCAGACTCTGAATTCCCGCCTGCTTCTCAGCAAATGAAAAGTTCCGGTCTCAATCTACAATATCACATTATTTTCCGCTTGCAATGTCAGCTATAAATCATCAAAAAAAAGCTTTGTCTTGCAGAATCTCGCTGTCAAATAGCCCCGCTCCTCTAAATGTGACACAGGATTTAAAGGTTAGGACTTACAAGGGGTTTATTCTCCAGATTTTGAGAGTGCATGAAAGCTAACATGGTTAATTACATTGGCTGCCAACAAACAGACAGTGATTTCCCCCGGTGGTTGTAAAGAATCTCTATTACTATGAAGCATTTTCTCTGACCTCAGCCCATGAGAGGCTCAGTGTCATGTAGCCTGTGCAGCAGGCTGGCTGGCTGAATAATTGTTCAAACATAATTCATAAAGGTTGATATATGTGCGAGTAGGACGGCTAAAAAATGTAGAGGATGGTGCTATCGACGCTGTATTGGTGGTCCTTAAATCTATGATAATGATTACAGTGTTGATTCTAATAAGCATATTCATTATTACAATATTGTGAAGCTTGGCAATAATACTTTTTCCTGATGGTGATAATGCTAAATCAGGAGCATCGCTAAGGGTATTCCCATGCTATCAGTGTGTTCCATATTGACGCAGTAAATTCCCCCTCGTCCTGTATTTGCCTTCAGAATCCTTTGCTGCTGTCACTGCTGCTGTGAATGTTTTTGAAAGGAGAATATCCCCCTTATAAACCAGACTCTATCAGCTTGGTTAGTCCATTCATTTTTAACTTAATCTGTTCAGTATGTGTAGCAATGTAGATCGGTCAGCCCGGCCTTGGCCCCCTAATCCACGGTTCACTCAGGGGTAAATGGTACCCAAGAATGACCCTGTGTCTCTATCCTCTCTCTGTATATTTCTGCCTCTTCTTGTTTTTTTTGGCCCTTGATCTCTACTCTGGCTGTGAGCAAGAAAATGACAAAGCTGACAGAAAAATCACAGCTGAATGATGACAGGGTCTACACAAATTAGGTATACAGAGTTTGAGATCTGACAATGCTGTTTGTCAGACCGCTGCAGTGCCCCATCCAACTTTGTCCCAGACTTTTCCCACAGCTGGCCCCTTCCACAGATACATGTCTCACCTTGGCTCATCTGCTGTCTTGCTATCTTTTGGGAGCAGTTCAGCTCAGCAGTTCATGGGAAATACGTGGCGGGGACACAGTGTTGGCGTGTCAACGATAACCCACGTGTCACTCTAAGATACTGCCGGCGGCTTCCTGTAAACCCGTGGCTTTGTCTTCTGTCAGTGTCGCCATCACAGCTAAACGCCTGTGACTGCACAGCTCATCGCCACAGAGAGGTGTCATCCCAGAGATGTATCACCCTGCACATGTCCCCTTTCTTTGCTGGTCCACTCGAGGTGCAAAAGTGGAATAACTGTTTCCATGGGTGGTGTGTGTTTGTTTCTGTTTGTGTTGGACATTGGAATGGTGCCATTATGGTTAAGTGGAGCCATGTTTGCGTATTACCACTTCTGATTGGAGTTATGACCATGGCTAGTATTTAGCAGCAGAAGGGAAGACATTGGCCCATCTTCCCTCCACGTTCCTATAATGGACATAACATACTATAGAAAGTACTCGGATACTCCAACAGTGGAACAGCTTCCTTTTCAAATGTGTTTCAGTTTGATCAGTGA